GGACGAACTCCCCTTTCTCAATGACTTGCCATTGTTCGCTTGCGGATCGTCTCGGTTCGCTTCTTTGGTATAGGGGTCAGTTTTTTGTGTCACAGAATTTAATTGATTTAGCGCGGGTTGTGCGGCAAAAAAAAAAGTACATAGATCATTTTACCAAGTTTGATTGGATATTTTCTATCCAATTATTCGTATTAATCCCATTCTTTTACTTGTTATTATTTAATACCATTAAATGGAATTGATTTGGAATTTTTATAGTTTAAAAGTTAAATCCCCAGAAATTATTTCAAATTTTTGAAAACACATTTAAAATATCTTTTCTTACCGGATCAAAACGAAAGCGATCTTCGCCTGGCATTCCTTGGGGATATTGTCCCGGTGGATTTCTGCCTGGGTAATTGGCTCCAAAACCATTTGGCTGATAATGACCATATCGGCGATCGTTGAATGTGTAAGTTCTGTAAGTCCAAAATGTAAGTGGAAAAATAAAAATAGGAAATATAATAATGACTCACCTGTAATCTGGATCACCGGGATTTGGCCAATGATAGTCAACGCCTGGGCGTGAATAAAACCTGGGATCTCTTGTCTGTCCCTCTGTCGGCACAAAACAGGTGCATATCAACAGGGGAAGGGCTAAAAGCCATTTTAATTTATCGCGATATTTTAATTTGTGCATCATGGTGATCTATAAAATTAAATAGATGAACGCTCTATTAATTACAAAGTTTAATTCGTCTAAAAAATCTGAAATTAATAAGAACCACTGATAATTACTACTTTGTTATTTGCGAAGTACACATCTCCCCATTCAGAAAACAATTATCATGGTACTAAAAATACCATAAAACGATCGTTATGCCTCTGAGACACCTTGTTTTCTTATATGAACATATTTTTTAAATTTTCTACAACCTTACAGATTAGAAAGATGAATTTACTTGTAAGCATTTTTGGAACCACTAAGAAGTATTTCGTAATGTTTATAAAGCATCAAAAATAGTTTTAGATACATTGATGGTTAACCCAAAACTCCATAAAAGTTTAAACAAACAGAATGAAAACAAATCTCTGTTCGGATTCGAGTAAGAGTGACCAAACTGGTTTTCCATTACGTTGTTGGCTCAATTTACTTGGCACTTCACTGCGGCATTAGAAGAGGCCGAGAGACCGACAAACCCGTTTGAAATGCTGACTCGAAAAAATGCGCTAAAAATAAGTTACAGCATAAAGTGCGACTTCAAAGTGAAGTCGATTGGAGGAGACCCCTTACACTGACGATTACGTGCTTTGTCTGGGTATTCGGAATCGGCGTCAATGGGTTAATTGCAGCGATAATGGAGAAAGGTCATCTTAAATTGGTTTAAGCTGGGGAAATGGTATGTGCCAGATTGTGTGAATAGCAAAGCCAGTAAATTGTTTTTAAAATTGTTAGACAATTGATTTTATTTTTTTTTGGGATATATGAGTTGCTTCAATTGATTCACTGAGATACTGAGTTGCTTATTGCATGATTTGAAATTTTCTAGAATTAACCGATCTTAAGAAGTCTTAGAAATGCATTTATACCTAAACCGTAAGAAAAATTTCTACAAAATTTATGACCAATAACTAAAAAATTCAATTATTAATAAAAAAGGGGCAGTTAGGTATTTCCTGTCAAATCCACCCCCTTGTACGTGTGAAAATGCAAACAAAGAAAAAGTGAGAAAATAAATACACCTGGCTATGCCAAAGGCGGTTCAATTTTAATTTCCCTCTTGGCATTCGATTGGCAATGCATTCGTATCGATGCAACATTAATGTCGTTACCCTGGTTGCATTATGCTTTCAGGTGTACAGTTTCGGTCAAAAATATTATTTTTAAGGACTGCATTTATTTTTTCACATGACTTCTTAAAACACTCTTAATGAAATAAACACTTTAAAAATCTTTAAAATATTTTACTCAAAAATTTAATTATGAAATATATTTTACCAAAACATTAATAAGTCATTAAATTTTCATTAAAAGATGAAGAATTTTTAACTTTTTTTGTTACATTTTCTAAGGAACTAAAATACTTTTTGTTATAAAAAAAAGAAGAGATCATGCAAGATGTTAGGTTGTACTAAAGATCACGGCCTTGTTGATGCTATTGTTCTGACTGCGAGTGTGTTGAAAGTGGCACAAGGACTCACATCGATACGGGTGCATTAACCTGCTTGTGGACGCCTCAAGTTACCCGGTTATTGGATGTCTCAACCCTCGAAGGGTTCCTATTAAAATTACGGAAGTGCAAACGCCTGCACAAAAAATATGCCAAGCTGTGTTTTTTTTTTTAACAAAACCGCCTGGGAATAATCATATCGAATTTCGTGTCGAAATTTTGTTAGCATTTGTTGTTGATGTTCGTTGATGAATCATTTGTAGAAGTTTAGCGTTTTTCGCAATCAAATCACCAAAGCAAACAATAAAACGCAACGATAACGCTGAAAGTGAAGCGCAGGTGCGCCTGTGTGAGTGCGTATCTCTGTGGCTATGAGTGTACCTGTGTGTGTTGGTCCACTACACAGGTGTTGTTGCTACTTTTACACAGAAAAAAAACCGATTAATTTTTATTGGGATTTTATTAATGTAATACTTTAGTAACACCAGTAAGTTGTATGAAAATTAATTAAGAGTTCTTTATAATTTTGGTTCACTATTAACTTTTCAGTTATATTCGTTAATTTTAAATACATTCTTTTTCTGATAACATAGAGTTCACACAAATTTTTAATGTTTTTCTAATTCACAGTATTTTAATTTATTTTATTATAATTTATTTTAAGCTAAATTTTATAAAATTGGTAACACTTTAAGGTTTTTTTTATGATTCTAGCAAAGTTGAATCAAGAGATTCTTTTTTTTGTGTGTTTGGCTTGTTTTTAGGCCTGGTTTTTGTTAGCATTCCACAGCGATATATTTCGAATCGAAAGCATTTCTTTCTCTGTGGCTTAATCTCACTGTTTTTACAGTTATGCTCCAATTGATGACGTTGCCGTGGCAACTTGTTGCGGCTTCTATCCGTCATTTCACTATCTAATCGCGATTTTCCAGCCATTACCATTCGCATTTTCGTTTTTGTACCATTTTCTCACTCACAATAACTTTCTTGGCCAAGCCAACGCCCCGAAAAAGGTAGCATTCGAAAAAAACCAAAGCATTCGAAACGTGAAAAAACGTAACGCAGCTGAAATGACCGTTTTTGAGTCACAAAGTCGAAGACTGAGACTCAGGTAAACCAGGTAAGCGTCGCCGTAATGCCGTCAGAAACGACGTCTCACGCACACCACAGAACGAAACTCAGTTAACACTCACACTCAGGTGCCGGCTGTTACCAACGATTCACACACAGCTACACCGATACACCTGGCCCGACCGACTCTTTCGATGTATTGGGCGCGCGCAGCTTTCCTACCCAGGTGAGAACCTGTGCGCAACAGTTTAACTACGGAAAATACAACCGACGCTCTCGAGAGTTCCAATCGAACTGACGTACCAACCAAACTCGAAACCCGAATCGAAAACCAGCAGAGAGCCAAGTCAGCTGAGCAGGAGCGGAACTTGGCGTGGGTGCTAAAACGGCAGGGCCGCAGCGAGGGCACCAGATCGAGCGGGGCCCTTGAGAATAGGGGATCTAAAAATAAAAGAAAAATAGGGAAGGAATCGAGCATAGGGCTCAATATTAATGCTTTTAAAAGAAACAACTTTTGTAGCCAGGAATACTAAACCAAAACACCGTCAGAAATATTGGAAAGAAACAATTTTTTTTAGTGAAAAATAATTTAATTTATACTCCGCCCTAATTAACGAAATACAATATAATAAAAAATCATATAAGTCACAAAGCTTAAACGGAACAAAATCAAAGGTGACATTGAAATCTTTTCGAACCAAAATCTGTTATGTTTCTTACTAACATCAATGAAACAATCCAACCGCTTTCGGTTAGAAGAGATTTCCGTAAAAAACAGATTATAAGATTTTCTAGCCAAAAAAATATTTGTAAAGTCATTTAATCGATCTCTCATTTCATTTTAATATTAGGGATAGTTAATAAATTAACTATGATGTATGATACAAATTAATTTTTTTTGTCGATTTTGATATGTTTTTTCAAATAATGGTACTCTTGTCATTCAAACCAAATAGTTCTGGATTCGGCATCCGCTTTGAATAACGTAGTAATGAGTTATCTTTGCATGACAAAACGGAAAATACATTTTGCATAATTTCTAATTGAATTCTATTATATAGGACGCAGCCCAGACGATGGATAGATGGATATGGATGGGTCGTGGTCGTGATTCACGCTTTGAGCTCTGCAGCGGCAGCGCAAGACCAATTGGCGATCGGTTCACATTTTGACCCCGTCTTATTGAGCGGGTTGTTGGGCGTAGCTGCTAATTTTAATTATACATAACCGAAGCGACGGAGCTTCCGATGTCAAAGATGCGGGAAGCAATTAAAGCACTTGAGCATGGACACGCTTTGTTTACAATGTTGACCCTTTCTTTATTAATGAAGTGCTTAAGTCAATTAGGCTAAAGAATAACTGCAGCTTACTACTGGTTAGCTAAAGATAACTGGATCTATTAATAAAACATTTGTAAAATTTCTTTGGATATTTTGGATACTCCTACCATGTAAATAAAACAAAAAACGATTACAGACTTTTGCCAGATAAATATTTCCATATTCAATATTTTTTACTAATATTTCAAATGGAATATTTCTATATTTCTATATAAGTTCTTCAATAATAGGGAAAGGTAGCTTCATGATAAACAGATGAAAGAAGAATATTAATTAAAACATCTATTTTTTGAATTGGTTAAATAAACAAATATTTTCCATTTTTTGATTTTCTGAATTTGCTGCATTTGACTTTCAAATAAACGCGCCCAACGAGAAACATCGAGCTATCGGTCCGTTGGAACTATCGGCATCAAAAACTGCACACTGTTATCGCTTATCGTCCATCGACTCCTGCAGCTGATTCCAAGCGAGAAAAAAACTCGGGACAGGAAAACAAGGACTCTGGGACTTTGGACCGCCACAGGAGCTGATTGCACAAAAGGATCCAACCGTAAACCGCCGACCACAACCGCCGGAGAGCCATGGAGCCGCCAGCGCCGGGCGGAATCGCGTCCGCCGGCTCGACGCACAAGTTCCATCCGTGCGACGAGGCGGTGATAGCCACCAACGACGATGCCAGCGACTGCAAGCGATGTGCGGTGCGCCTGGGCTACTGGAAGGACGACTATATCGGCTACTTTGTGCGCAACCAGGAGCGCAAGGCGCCGGAGATCAATCGCGGCTACTTTGCCCGGGTCAAGGGCGTGGAGATGTGCGTCGAGAAGTTTCTGAAGGTCAGTAGTCCTCGATTCGCGGTGGCTCCCAACTGTCTGGCACGTGCCAAGGTCATCCTGTTGCATTGCAAGGCCATGGCTTGCCATGCGCATGTCCTGGTCGGGATGACCTTGCCCTAACCGCTTTTTCCAACCACTTTGTGCCCACAGAAAACCTCGGGCAACTGCCAGATCATCAATTTGGGCTGCGGCTTCGACACACTCTACTTCCGACTGAGGGACACCGCCCACCAGGTGAAGAACTTCATCGAGCTCGACTTCCCCACTGTTACCGCCCGCAAGTGCTACACCATCAAGCGGAACAAGGCCCTGCTGGCCAGGATCCACGACGAGGACGGTGAGGTGCGGCTGAGTCCGACGGATCTGCATGGGCCCAGCTATCACCTGATGGGCGTCGACCTGCGCAACCTCGATGAGGTGGACAACAAGCTGCAGCAGGCCGAAGTGGACTACACCCTGCCCACCATCTTCCTCGCCGAGTGCGTGCTCGTCTATATCGAGGCGCAGAACTGCCGCAATCTGCTCAAGTGGATCGCGCAAAAGTTCCAGGCCGCCGTCTTTGTCAATTACGAGCAGGTAGGATGTTCTTTAACCTTCCAAATCGGTAAAATTCAGGGTTCGGAAAATAACACACTCTGTAAAAAACTTGTGTTATTAACATGTTAAATGTCAAAGTGTTAAAAAAAGTTATAAAGTTATTGACATGTGTGTAAAAAATTGTAGCTCACTTATGTTAGAAACATAAATAACACACACAGTTTATTTGTGTTACTTACACGACGTGTTTTTTACACAACCTGTTTTTAACACAATGAGTTTTTGACATTAAAACGTCAAAAATATATGTTGAACTGAAAAATTCATGGTTTTCTGTAGTTAAAAAATTCATATATGCTTTGAAACGGTTAAAAAAAAACAATTAAAATATCCTGGCCCAATTTTGATTCTTCATTTTCCCTTCGATTCGTTAATGTCCATTAAATGTAGTTTTCATTTGTGTTAAAAACACAGTGTGTAAAAAACACGTCGTGTTAATAACACATTGTCTAAAAAACACAAGAGAGCTGTACATATGTGCTTACAATTATTTTTCACATTGTAACACTTTTGTTTTTGACACACATGTCAAAAACTTTGCTCACACTGTAAAATATAATTTTACACCTTTTTAACATGTGTTTTAAATTCCGAACCCTGGATAAAATTAATAATGAAACGCTTTAATCACTGCAGGTCAACATGAACGATCGCTTCGGCGACGTGATGCTCAACAACCTGCGCGGACGCGGCTGCAGCCTGGCCGGCGTGGAGTCCTGTCTGTCGCTGGACACGCAAAGGAACCGCTTCAAGGACAGCGGATGGACTGGCGCCCGCGCCTGGGACATGGTCCAGGTGTACGAGAGCATCTCGGCGGCCGAGAGGCAGCGCATCGAGCGGCTGGAGATGCTGGACGAGGGGGAATTGCTGCTGCAGCTCTTCCAGCACTACTGCCTGGTGGTGGCCTGGCTGGGCGTGGCCTTCCAGGACATAGATATCACGTGCGTGCCAGTGTAAACATTCGTGCCTAGCCGACATCGGACTCTTAAAGTTCCCTGTTTACTAATGAAACACTATTTACTTTACTTTACCCCATGCAGCGTCGAGGAGTTGATGTCCTCCCTGAACATTGACTAGGAGCGATGGAGGAGGAAGATGCACCATTTATCCACTCTTTGCTCTGCTCGGAAGGCCATGCCAAAAGATTTTGCTTCTCAACATGTTAAACTAAACAAACCAATAATTATAAAAAAACCATCGAAATCAAAACGTATTTAGATATTTATCCCACACCGAACCCACTCGCAAATTACTTAATTTGTTAATCCTTAGTTGTTCCTTACAAATTTCCCTTGTTACATTCTCTATTATTTAATCGCTTAATCTTTTTTTTCGAATTCGCTCACTAATTTATCACCGAATCGTGGCGCAAACTATTGATAAGTGATCGATACGCCATCCATTCATTTCCAATCTTCTAGTGTGCGTTTAAAGTGTAAATGTATTTTGAAATTAATTAAAACAAAACGTAATTGGAAAACTTAAATTAAAAGAGTTTAATTATGGCTGAGGTTGAGAATAAGAATAAGAAGATTTCTTAGGTTTTACTTTATTTTACAAACAACACCGTGGATAAAAATTTGTATTTCTAGTGTAAATAAATGTTTTTGCTCCAAGCTTGGTTATCGTGGGATATAAAACTTATATCTTAGGTGTAAATCAACTGAGAGAATGTTTTTCGCCTATCCTTCCTTGCTGACCTTCGCCATCTCGCGGGTTCTGAAAATATAGATTAATTTTTAGTAGCACATAGTATTAAAAAATAGTTTTAAATGCGTTTGTAAGGGAATTCCGCTTACATGGCCCGCAGTTCCTCCAGTGTGGGCACTGCAACACGCGTAGATTCGCTCTCATCCTCTTCGGCCGCCTGCTCCGGATGCTTCTTCCACTTGTGCGAGCGGCAATTGGTGTTGCTGGCGAACGCCTTGCCACAGTACTTGCATACATAGGGCCTGAGACCCGTGTGGCTAAGAAGATGGATCTTCAAAGCCGTCGAGTTCTTGCTGCCGATGCCACAGACCTCGCATTTGAAGCGACGCTCCGCAGTGTGCACCGTTTTGTGCTTGTTAAGATTCGCCCGTGTCTGCAGCATTCTGCCGCAGACCTCGCACTCAAACTTGGGAGCTCCATGCGTCTGGCTGTGCACCTGAAAAAGGTAGGATAATTAAATGGCTTAGCTACTTATGTCAGTTATATTATACCCACCCTTAGTCTGGCTTTGTTTTTGAAGGCAGCATTGCACACGGGACACACGCAGGGCTTCTCGTCCGTGTGGACCAGCTTGTGCTCCACCAGCGAAGTGAAGGTCTTCAAACCTTTTCCGCAGATGTCGCAAACGAAACGCTTGGGACCGCCGTGCATATCGTGTTTGTGACGACGCAGGGCCATAAAGGACATGAAGGACTCCTTACAGACCTTGCAGGTAAACTCGTCGACCGGAGGACTTGGCGAGCGATCTTTGTCCTGCGGCTGCTCACTGACTTTGGGCGTCTTTTCCGGGGATTTCGGTTCGACGGGGGTTGTTTTTTGGCTAGGTCTGCCTCGCTTCCGTTTCACAGGCTGCTGGGATGTGGTGTCTTGGTCGGTTGGGACGTGCTCCTGATCATCATTCTCCCTCAGCTGCGATTTGTGAGGCCTAAGAATCGTTGGTCTGCGCATACGTTTTACAGGGACTTCAGTTGAAGCCGGAGTTTTGGGTAGCGATAAGGGTCGCTCCTCGAGCTCCGATTTGCGATGCGTGAAATTCCCTCGCCTGCGAACCGCTTTTGTTTGTACCTCAAGGGAAGGTTTCTGGTGGATTTCAGGTGATGGCAAAGTGGGTAGCTTTATGGATGGCTCTTCGAGCTCCGCTTTGGAGTGCTTGGAAGGGCGACCCCTCTTTTTGGGCATCTCAGGCGAAGGCGTAGGCGTTGGGGAATGATCCGAGAAATGGTCCGAGAAAATCAGCTCATCGACCAGGGAGAACTTGTCGTCATCCATGTCCAGGAACTCCAGTTCCTGCTTGCACGTGGGCGGCAGGCCATATTCCCGCCGCAGGTCCTCCACATCCTGGCTGTCCTGCTGCCCCGAATGGCGCAAAAGCTCGTAGAGGCCCTGGATCTTGGTGACGTTCTCCGAGAAGGTGAGCATCTGGCCAATCACCGAGTAGCACTCCTCGCACAACATTCTGCCCAGTTCGGGCTCCTCGAAGGTCATCTGCCGATAAAGCGGATTATAGTATAGGGAAATGATATATCTCAAGTCCAGGGTACTGGAATTCGAGCCACCTACCTCCACATCGAAGCATTTCCTGATGATCCTCACTAGATCTTCGTCCCGCTCGCGAACTTTGAAAACCACATCGTCGCGGGCGCACAGGCGACACCAGTTAATCCAATCGCTCGTGGGAATGCCCATGGTTAATCTTGGCCCTCAGCACAATCCGAAGAGTTTTGTACAGATTTTATTTTCCAATTTTATTCAAATTATAATTTACGAACGCCGACGACTATCAGCTGATTGGCAGAACGCCCTTACTTAGAGCGGGAAAAATATCGACTGATTGTGTGATGCGGAATGTTCACACTGGGCGGAATTGATGCGAGGAAGAAGAAGATAATTTATACTTTTGTTTTTATAAGTATTTCTCTTGACAATTCTTGTGACTGAAGGCTATATAATTTCATATTCTAAAGTCTTAAACGGAACCTCTATCGCTATTAACGACACATTAATATGACCCCCGTGCTATATACAGTGTGCTCCAACTGATATCTTTTATTTTTAACCACGAGCCGGAAAAAAACACCCTACACAAAATAGAAAATTCCCCAAAAACTTTAGACATAAAAAATATTGTACCAAATAAATGGAATTTTTTTCACAAGTTTTTATTACATGCTTACAATTTTTATTAAATACTTACAGTTATATTATATGTTTCGGTTTTCGGTTATTCTATAAAAAATTATGAATTCTAATTAACTCTTTATTCGTGTTTTTATACATATGGCGGATTCTCAAAGTTTTCTATATTTTTTGAAAGTTTTAAGTATCTCAACCACAATTATTTTGAATTAAATAATTAAATCTAGATTTCTTATTTACGTAAATAATTTTATTTTGAAAATTGTAATCATTTGGAAATTTAAAGTGGTGCCATAATGCTTAGTGACTGCAGTAAGTTTTAGTCTTTCTACCTCATTCTCCAAAAACGCTTTCGATACACTCGTTTTTAATTGTAATTGTAACCTCATTTTCGGATTCTGAACTGCTGCGACGTCGTTTTAGTGTATACTTATTTTTTCGGTTCAAGTTATGAATCTTATTATATAGTAAGCCTCCCGGGTTGTGGCGACCAGATATCTTTCTACTAAGAAAGTACAATTCTTTTTTCTCATTGGGAAATATTGAGACAATTTGGTCCGCCAGTCTCTCTATTTCGCTTACGTTTGGAATTTGGTATTTATTGAGTGTTGCATTGTAAAAGCTGTCAGCAACAATCGTCAAGATCTTCCTTCTGTGTAGATCTGATAGGGTTTGTGATTTTTGGACTTCTTGTACTATTTTAGCTCCAATGTCTGATGACAGAAGTAGGGACTGGACGTACTAGTTAAAGCAAAACAATATAATATTATTAGAAGCGGATTAAGTAAAAATCCCCATGATAAATTAAAATATTTTGCTGACATTACCGTATTGGAACAAGTCGAACTTTTATGAGTCGAAGCTAACTGTTTGTCGCGTTGTTCATCATTTTGTTCTTCATCCTAGAGAGCAAAGTTATTAATATATTTTAATAGAAAATAAATCAAATACTTACAGTTTCTTCTCTCCATTTCTTCAGTTTATACCTGAATTCGGCTCGGATCCCGATTTGCTTCCTTTTAGGAAATATATTCATCAAGTCGCTGTCGTCGATATATTTCAGCCTCGAGTACGTAAAACCACACTCTGAAAACCATAATTAATATTATTAAATAATTACGCTACATTTTTTTATTTACCTATAAGGCATTCGTAACACGACATAGGTAATTCTTGAGCGATTACAAAGTTGAATAGGCGTTCATCGTTATCCTCCGGCTCCATCATGGTTCCTTAAAAAAAAAGGATATTATTTGTGTGTTCTAGTGGAAGTCTACTGCGAGCGAAAAAAAACGCAAGCAACTTTACAAACATACTTAAGTATATGTGTGTGCGATGCAAAAATGTCCTAGTGACTTTATAACTAGAATCTCGCCTTCAAAAACTCAACTCTCAAAACAAAACACAAATTAAATTGATTTGTTTACTTTTGCCCAGATGGCGATAGGCACAACTCCGATAACTGACTATCGAGTACTCGTGAATCCAGGGATTCGGGCAAGGAACTGGTTCTTTGAACTACACGACTAGAAAATGAACCTAGGTTGAAATCGGACAATTTTGAGTTAATTAGAGGATGTCTAGCGAGCAAAATACACCGCTCAAAAAGCAGAACATGTTGAACTTTAAAAAAAAATGAATATTTATTTAGACCACTTTAAAAATGTACGTCCAATTAACTTCGCGTTCAAAATCAATTTACCGAAAATTGACTAAATTTTATGCTAGGACGACCAAATGTATTTTTCTCGCTCTCACTCATGTAATTTAAATCGCCATTTTGGTGTTTCCTATCTTTTTCGATGTCAGAGAATCACCGAGAAATCGATAAATTTACATTTTTCAGTATCAATTTTACAATATTTCATGGTGAAAATGAAATGTAAGTAAAATGTATGTAAAATCCCCCAATTTACCATGCGCATATCGACGTAACTTTTTATGAAGACAATAATTTTAAGTTAATAACCGCGAAATCTGAAAGGATAGAGATGAGGTTACTCGAAAATCGGGATTACTTGCAAAGGATTTACCTTTCCATAATGAGCTGAAAAGTGCTGCGCTTCAGAATAAACAGCCCAAAAATGACGATACCAGAAACAGAGTGGATGTAGGTGACTGTCATCGAGAAATATGAAAGCCAAACGGGCGAATCGTAAAAATTGGACAATGGGTAAACGAAATCCAAGATATATATAACTCCCGTAAGACCAGAGAGTCGTAGAAAACATAGGTAACTGTGGCAGGGATGAATGGGTGGATATACGATCTTGGCAAATAATTTTATATTATCTTGGCGCTTACGGTACTTCGGCCGAGCTAAATCCTTTCAGATCCCTCTTCACTTTCAGAACTTCCCTCACCGTCAGGATGAACATGATTAGGTTGTAGGTCATTAGGATCGCCCCCTGTCCACTCTCGTAGATCAGGAAGGACCAGCCGAAACCTATAAACAAAAGAAAATATTTAATTAGTCACCGTAAGTACCGTAAGTAAGGCTTACCGACTTTGTATCCGGCACTTGAAAACTCCACCATCGGGCCTATATTCAAATATATCGGGATCGGCCTGCCATATTTGATCCATTACAAAGATGAATCCGGTTAGTAAAGCTCCAGTACCAAAAATAAAGACGCAATAGGTAACAAATTGATATCGGGACTCCAATGACATATTTTGAAGCAACGCTATTTTCTTCCACACGAGACGACTGATAGCACAGAGCCAAAGACTATCACTCAGACGCAAAAAGAGCACAAAGTACCCTGTAAAAGATCCCTTCGTAAAGATATATCTAAAGTGAAATTAAATTAAACTACTAACCTATTAAAGGATTGATAACGCTGGAAAAAGTAAATACATTCCTTAGCAATATACAATTGGCTACGAGCCTGCATAAAATGCAGCAGATAAAACATTTTCCCGGCAGGTTCCGAATCTTTTTTAGGTAGAGATATACTACGACTGTAATTATATAGCACATCTGGGAAAGAATGATGACTAGAGAAACAGAAAATGATAATTAAGGTAAATCAGAAAATAATAACTAGTTATTACATTCTCTGTATGCCGGCAGTATTTCAAATTTTTTATAGGTATATACCATCCATTTTGTCTTTCCAATTTCCGAAGAAAGATGATGTGGATAGAAGCAGTAATCCCCTTTGTAAAATGTCCTGTTGTCAGCGAATCGGCGACCAAAGCTTCCGTTCTAAAGATTTCGAATTAGGCAGGGAAATATTCGAAGGATTAAAATTCAAACCTCAAACAGTAAAAACCCATCTATCTCAAGAGTTTCCCATGAAGGACAGGCGTGGAATTGTCTCCTCATCACGATCAGATCGGTTGATCCGTCTTCGAGGGACACGTTTAGGTAGGGATTCACCCGTGAAATCTCCTTCTCCAGACCATCATTGCACTGGTCATTAGCCATATCCCTATGTGGGCAACAAATACTGAGGCAGGGCCTCAACTTGCAGACACAGGCCCTTAAATGACTTTTCACTGGCTGCTGGGATCCGTCGGGTAACTCCATGAAATCATATACACCAGTTAGGTTGGCCGGAATTACGAGGTCATCATATTGGTAGAAATCGTTTTCCCGTTTTATGTGTGATATGTCTACCGTATCAATGAAGCTGCAGTTCGGGATTACCGCCTTGGATTTCTGCAAGCTTAAACAAAATAAAGTGAGAGCAAAAAACTTCATAGCTTATGCGGATATTTAAATACGACTGACTCTAAAACACTCATTGCCAAAGTTTATGTACAAATTTATATGTAATCTAAGTATACCCCAATAAAACACTAAATCGAGTTATCGCTTATAAATTATTCCCCTGGGACCTAAAGAATGTCAGATTTTTATATATTCATGATATATATATTTTATATCAGCAGTTTATATTGGAAAAGACCTTTTTTACTTTCTTAGAATTATATCAGAAGCCAATTTATAAATGTTATCAATTTATAATTTCTTTTTATTGTTTCTACGAGCTGTAATTCACAATTTTTTTGCGTAAGAAACCATGAATGAATGTATTTTATTAGTCGAAATTAACAACCAATACCAAGTAACTTAATAAAACATCATTTTTAAAAGTAAAGTTTCGTTTCTTCTTAATTTAATTTAATAACAATTTTATTTCTCATCGAATGTAAAGTATGGTACAATATTTTTAGCTCTCCATGTCCTCTGCATCGTTTGACTCGTTTTCCTGCCAATCCTCAATGGTATAGTAGGCTTTCAGGGCAATTTCGTCGTCCAGCGTTAGTTCGCCCAGGACCAGAGGCCCCAACTCCTTTTTCACCATGACTTCCTGCCAAAACTCTCTGTGTTTCTTGGCCAGCGTGATCTGTTTCAGCTCCTCGGCGAACTTGTCGTACTCCTGAAAGGTGTTGAAGTCCATACAGCTTTGCCGGTAGAGGGAAATGATCTCGCCCAGCTGATCGCTGTTGAGTTTTTTGCGCTCCAGAAGCGTGAGGATTACCACCCGCGTATCGGCAGCCAGAGCCTGAAAGCGGGCATCCCGCTGGGTGGCATTTGCGATGGATCGAATGCTTGTTAGGATACGCGTGAAGTCTGAGCCAGGATTGGTCAAGCCCACGCCATCCGATGGCATTGGGATCTCCTTCTCCGCTGGTTCCTTTTTCACGGGCACTCCATTTTCCGCCTGCTCCTTGGCCAGCAGCTTTTCCTGCCAGGCGCGACTGTAGCGTAGAGGGAATAGCTTCTTCACGTTGGCCGCCGCCCGCTTGGATTTTTCCTCTAGAGGTTCCGGGACTCGCCAAAAGACATCCGCGAAATTCTTGTCCTTCAGCATTTCTTTCTCCTCCTCCTCAGTCATATTCTTATCCTTATTGTCTCTTTTGATAACCTTTCGCTCCAGGACGTCCATCACATTCTGCTCAAAGATGCTGGGAAGACTGTCAAAGGGAAGCAAATCATTCTGGGCCCATGGACGTGGTTGCTGCGTGTCCCGCAGGCTGCATTCCAGGTCGGTATTATCGATCAGCTCGTCTATGGCCAGCAACTGGTCCTCGCTGCACTGCGTCTTGGCCGTTCGCAGGGCGGGAAAGTCCCAGAAATGATGCTGACTGGTATAGGAGACTTCCAGCATGTACAAAGTAGCCGGTTGCGTATCATCCGCTAGGCGCGGCAGCAGCACCACCATTTGCGGCCTATTAAACTTGGTGCTGAAGATCTTCCAGCAGATGATGGCCCGATCGGAGGCGATTAGCGCACGCACTAGAGCATCCAATTTGATGGCGGCGCTTTGGTTGTTCTTCTGGTGCACTAAAAGATACAAGGACTCTCCGCAATAGTACTCATCCGGCACGGCATTCCGCTTGATGAAGCCGAAGAAATGCAGGCCCTGCGGATAGGGATCCTTTGGCTCCAGCACGTCGGCGTCGTAGGGCACTGGAGTGCCGCCCAGCATGTAACCGGTCATCAGATCCTCCGGCAGCGGCGTCACTTCGCTGCCCTTGATGAAGTGCCGCGTCTCCCGCGTCACCGTTTCGTCCTCCTCCGCCCAGACTTTCACCAGCTTGACGGGCGTCTGGTTCTTCATGGCGATCATGCCCTGCAGACTGATGCTGATCTTGCTGCCGATGTGCAGCCGGGCGTTCCACACCCAGGGTCGTCGATTGGTCACCCTGAAGACGGTGAGCAGGGCCTCCTTGAAGCTGCACAACGACGCATTGCAGCGCGGCACGAGGCTGAGGACGTGCTTCTGGTTCGCCAGCTCATCGGAGCCGCATTTTCGCGAGAAGTTGAAGATGGCCTGCGGCTCATTGGTCTCGGCATTGTCCTTGTACGCGATGTTGTGGGTGCTAGGGAGTAAGAAAATATGTATTATTAGTATAAAGATACATTTTAAAATGTAGCTTATTACTTGGAATCGGAAATAGATGGTACTATTACAATTTTACAGGAAGGAAAGATCATTTGATGATGAAATAAACATGATATATGATGAATATGATGTCATATGCATTGTAATCTATTTGGAAGGTAAATAATATAATGGGCCTGCTCACCCCACAATCAAATCAATGTTCTCCTTCAGCAATATATCCGTGATTTCGTTGAATTTATCAAAGTCCTGCGGAAAGTCATTGAAATCGAAAAGCAGGAGAATCCTTCGCCTGGCGGGCCTAAAACTAAAAAGGATTTTATATGAAATACAGAGGTTCAAAGATAGCCGAATCCACCTACGTAAGTGCGGTTTCTTGGAGCTGCAGTGCCGCCTCAAGGCCATCTAGCCACTGTCCCTCCTCGCAGGCAGTTTTATTTACAAATTCAAAGAAATTCAGCAGTAGCTGCCAACTGCAAAGTCTGGGATCTCCAAATTTAAGCACATTTTTGTGGGTTACTTTTTCTTTATCTTCATCATCTAGAATGCTGGTGTCGCAGCCCACCAGGACGAAGGACACATAGTCCTTCTTGTCGCACACGATCTGGGGAGGATGAAATTAGCAAGGTTTTCAGAGTCCTGAAGGTTTTTTACCCACCTTGTCCTTTAAAACCTCGGCCACAACCTTTGCCGATTTCAGTTTGACTTCTTCGGCGGCACAAGTGCGCACATCTATCACTATCACAAGCGATTCCTGCAGATCCAAATAAAGTTAAGTTTGTATTTATTACAATAAACCATAAACCCACCTTGTTAGAAGCCATTAAACCAGTTTATTTACAGAAATATATTTTTGAATTGTCTGCGCAGAAATTTCACAACAGAACTGTATGACCTTTTAGTCGATAACACAAAAATGCCTCTGAAATAATATCGATTAATTTTTAAATTACTTTTTATATTTACTTATTACCACAAGATTTTCCGTTATCATAAGCTTTAATTAAATTAAATACATTTAGACGAAAGAAAGATTAGATTATAACTCAACTTTCATAGTTTTGCAATTTGAATTTTTTTGCAATACGTTTAATGATTTATCGATAGTTCTAATACCGCGTTGCCAACTACATCATAGTCAGCGGTTAAATTTGAAAGACTTTTTAAGTTTTTATAATTACTAAATAGGATATATTTTTGTTTAATGTTCAAAATTCAGGTGAAATAGCCAACAATATTTTCTTATAATCTCCTAGACCTTCCCGTAAGTCTGTAGCTTTTCCAGATACTCGGCATTTTGGCTTAAATGATTGAAAATCAAATTTGTATCCAGGACATTCGTGGCAGGACCTCCATATTCCGCCGGCAGACTCTCATAGCCAACCATTTCGCGCAGTTTGCTGAGGTTTTTCCCATCATGGGTGAAGATCTACGAAATAAAGCGATTAAGGTGTTTAAATTAAAATAAAGCACATTACTCGTACCCTTTCCTTAAACTCCTTGTTCATGAAGGGCATAAAAAGCGTGGAGGTCACGTGCATGAGAAACCCGCGCTGGATAATATGTACGATTCGCTGGCTGAAGGGCAGGACTCCGTTCTTTTCGTTCACCACCTTCATAAAAGCTGGCGAAAATTGCCGCAAAAAATTCCGCGTTGTCCTGTGAAATTCAATTTAAGTTAATATTTTTAGGTATAGTTAACTGTTGTCAAAATACACAGGAACAAAATATTTATAAAAAAGAAGTATTTCTTTTGAAGGGGAAATTTAATTAATGAAATTAATTACTGTTTCGTTAACAGAATGCGGTAATAAAATAATAATCAGTTAAATTTAAAATTGCTCTTTATCACTAAAGGATTAAAAAATAAATTTGGTGAAACAATTGGTAGGTAAAGAATGAGTTTATAGTTTTAATTTAGAAATTATATTTTTATTCTACAATAGTTTCTATATCGACATTAGGGTGGGTCGATTTGGGACCCCAAAAATCGTATAGGGGGAATGTATTCTTTAAAGGATTCTAAGCCATATTGGCGAATATACTTATGGTCTAAAATTACGTTTGACCCCCCCCAAACGCAAACGAAAAATACTGATTTTTTGAGAAAAATATCATAGTAGTCAGCACAGATATCTTACTGAATATCAATTTCAAATTTTTATTTCAAATTTTGTAATACATCTGAGCCGACTACTGTGATATTTTCCTCAAAAAAAGATATATTTTTCATTCGCGTTTGGGGGGGGGTCAAACTTCATTTTAGACCATAAGTATATTCGCCAATATGGCTTAGAATCCTTTAAAGATTACGTTCCCCCTATACGATTCATCACTTTTTTCGGCCCCATACAAATCGACCCGCCCTAATCGACATATTCATTGCAAAAAGATTGACATTAAATAACAAACTTAGCAATTTAAATAAATTGTAAATTTGTTGGCTAGAAACCCATTTGGCTTTTAAGATAGAAATATTTGTTTTATCGTAAGAACTCGGGATTTCTACTATAAAGATAGATTTTAAATAGTTCGTAAACTTTGAAGAATATTTATTGACTCACCCTTGGAGGTCGCATATGACTGTGATGCCGTTCTCCTGGACGCGAGGCAACAGCAGGAGCGACTCAAATATCAGGTCGTCCATCTCTACGAGGCTCTGCAGATAGTCTGGATAGTTCTGGAACCCGTCCACCGTCTTGAAAACGACTAGAACCCGTCCATTTCGATCCACCTGGGGCATTACGTAGCGGCAGTGGGTGCCATAGAATATCTGACGAAAGTGCTCGATGGGATGGCGGGCCACCCAGGTGGGGTGGCGCCTCTTGAAGTCGTAGTAGGCGTGGATGGCCTGGAAGGCCTTAATCGTATCCCAGCGCGTATAGTGCAGGAACTTGGTCAGCAGGGTGTCCTCCGTGCCCACCACTAGATCATCGCACTCTGAAATACATTATATTTTCAGAGTTATCATAAAGTATTTCCTTCTATTTTCTATGCAGCTTTTTTGCTTACTCTCCACCAGCTGCCTGAGTTGCTTGATTTTGAAGATCTGCTCCGCCGAGTGATCGACTCGGGCTGTGAGGAACAGCATTTTAGGCTTTGAATTTTGAACAAAAAACAAAAAAACGTCCAAAAGTATTTTAGAATTTTGATTGATTGCTTTTCAACGGCCAGAAGTTTCACTTTTTCACACACAATCCGCTGGCGATCCGCACTCGCAACGCAAACGACACTCACTGACTAAAATATCCATGAAATCTGTTTTGGTATAGATGGTTTATTTGTTTTATAACCGGTGCGTGCTCAAATTTTTAATTGTCCGCAATCGCTTTGAAATATAAACCTAATCGTTCAACTTGAACTTGGCTTATTTTGGCATGGAATCAGTTATACAATTTTAGTAAATTTAGTTTAGAAAATGTATCAATAAAAAATGCATTTCTGTTATTTTTACACATAGTTTATTTTTCAATAGGTAATTTAAATTTTGTTTTGATTACACAGGCCGACAAAATGTGACATGGGTCGATGTCCAGGCCTGCCACCATTTTATTTCGATAAATGAGGCTTTTCTAAGCATAAGTTGCCACTACGCCTATAGTCCATCAGCTCTTGTATTTGCGGTATCTTTAATTTAAGAAAATCACAAATTTTCTTCGGCTTTTGGGATATATCTTCAAGAGTGGTCAACCAATTTTGGTAATCTTTTCTGAATTAAATAGTTACATGTCTCTTTTATACGGTCGTTTTGGAAAATTCAATCTAACTCAACCACAAGAGGAGGTGGGCGCATTCAAAATTTTAAAGTCACAGCAAAGTTTAAAAATCTTCATTTGTGAACAGCGTTTAAGAATTAAATAAAAATATTTTCTTCTACAATGCATTTTTGATCCAAAGACACCTTATGTCCTTACTGTTTAGGACACTCATCAGGTTTTTGTGAATTGTTTTGGAATTTTTAAAATTGTTTTTCTTACTTCCTTCACAGTGACGATTCACAAACATTGCCCTAACCTGTCACTATTTTACGTAACGCATAACTATTTTTGACCACAAGTAACCCTTGCTCTAAAAATATTTATACATGGACGTAAGTTAAAAGCTGGAGGGGGATTACACTTCAGGCATTTCAGCCCCCAAAGATAAGTAGCCTACGCTCATGTGCTTATATTCAAAGCAAAACTACTTAGATCGTTTAGAAATATGTTATTCAAAATTGTGACAGGTTTGGGCACTGTTTGTGAATCGTCACTGTGAAGGAAGTAAGAAAAACAATTTTAAAAATTCCAAAACAATTCACAAAAACCTGATGAGTGTCCTAAACAGTAAGGACATAAGGTGTCTTTGGATCAAAAATGCATTGTAGAAGAAAATATTTTTATTTAATTCTTAAACGCTGTTCACAAATGAAGATTTTTAAACTTTGCTGTGACTTTAAAATTTTGAATGCGCCCACCTCCTCTTGTGGTTGAGTTAGATTGAATTTTCCAAAACGACCGTATAAAAGAGACATGTAACTATTTAATTCCGAAAAGATTACCAAAATTGGTTGACCACTCTTGAAGATATATCCGAAAAGCCGAAGAAAATTTGTGATTTTCTTAAATTAAAGATACCGCAAATACCAGAGCTGATGGAATATAGGCATAGTGGCAACTTATGCTTAGAAAAGACTCATTTATCGAAATAAAATGGTGGCAGGCCTGGACACCGACCCATGTCACATTTTGTCGGCCTGTGTTATTAACACCTATATATCCAGCATAATCCAATCTAAAAAGTTATAAACAACAAATGTTTTTGCCGCTAGGTGTCGCTTTGTAGCTTGCATATGTATCTCCATCTCCTTCGCACTCCATTTAGCTAAGTCACGGGTATCTGATAGTCGTTCTCATTTGTTTGTTTTATAAATTTAAATCAAATTAAATCATAGAATGTAAGCCTCAATTTATAAAAAAATCCGAGAGTACTTCAACCGATGAATTCCAATATTGCTAAAAGCTTCGTCTTTGGGGGAGTCATCAAGTTGACCTAACCACGTATTCAAGCCACAATTCATTTAACTCGGGTGCTCACAGAAAAAAAGTCAAGTCGAAAAGTAGGAAAAGTAGTCAACAAAACGCGAAAGGAAACTATAAGTACGATAATTGAAGAAAATGTCATCTACACACGATGCTACGTGACTTAATAATGCCCCTTGTCTGTTCATAATAACGGTCACAACGTGTTGCTCCGTATTTGTACATATATACCATATATATATCCACACTTTAGTTTCTTTTTCTAAGGTTTTTTTTTCTTAATTTTCCATTTCATTCTGGCTTTCGATCGATTAGTAAAAGTTGAGCGGTCAAGAAAAACTAAATATAGTTTTCTAATTGGTAGAGTGTGAGCACATTTAGAGCAAGACAGGTAGATGTCCATCAAAGACTGTTTCCAAAAGTGCTTAAGTCGTGACTTTGATAGAAATGTTCAAATTAACATTGCACTACGAATATCAAGTTGATGTTTATTGATTTTTGTTATTGTGTTGGCATTGTAACTGCTTTAACTTTTAAGTGAATTGTAATTGTGTAAATAATTGGCAAAACAATAAATAAATAAAAATATTATTTATGTAAAAATGCCGTTAATTATTAACTTGCTCTTTTGTTTGCTGATTAACTCAACAATTAAACTAAGTTCCCCAACTTCTAATAAATAAATTTCACGGTTAGGTAATTAAAAAATGTAATTTTTACCCCTAATTACTAGCACATTTGTTTGAAATCAATTTGGACTTTGACAATTCATAACATTTCGGTTGACTGGAATGCAATTTGCATTCATTTCAATAATTTAACAAGGTTCCCTTCCCTTTTGGCCAAATCCCCATGAATAACCGCTGAAATTTGCCTCTCCTTTGATTTTAACCAATTGATGTAATTCAAATTAGTGTTTTTGCAAATGTTTCGTCTGTGACTTTTTGTAATAATCCAAAATCTATAAATAATGCATTTAATTTAAATGGTAAATAATAAACATTTGGTTTTTGTGGTTTGTTTTTGGCCAGTGAGTAGCGACTGTTTGCACGCTGATTAAATTGCGGTCACCTGGATTGCAGACCCCTATGTTAGTAATCAAGTTGTACTTATTCACTAAACAATAATTTGGTTTATTAGGAAAGTGAATAAATACATTTTGTTTAGGAAAATTGAAAAAAATATTTATTATTTAAATTTTGAATCTTAAATTCGAGTTTGAAGATACATTTTTTGGGTTATTTAATTTTTTAATTCTGTTCAACAATTTAAAAGGGAATCGCAGCTATCTAAATCTTTAAAAATACCATCAAAACTGCCAGCAACAAATCACATTGAGGCAGCTCCACAATAGTGACCCCGAAAAGTCCACCCCATTTCGTATATGTTGACCATCATAGACGAAAAACCCCCGGAAAACAGAACAAATTACAAGTGTTGTAAAGTGTCATTTTTCAACAGGACGAGCGGGCAATGTAGAAATAATCATAATGGCCAAGCGCATATTTGAGGCGAAATCTTGTAAAAACAATAGCAGAACCGAGCTCCCAAAAACGAAAAAGTTGCTAAAAGGAAAACAAGAAAAATGTGAGCAAATTTCGCTGGCACAAGAAAGGGCCGAAAAAGTAGCAAAAAACAAAAAGAAAAACTAAACCAAATTCCAATTTGTCAGGAATTTGTTCAATTTTAGTTTTGCGGTGGCCAGGGACCGAATGAGAGGACCCCGGAAATACACCACCCCCTCTCTTCAGTCGACCATCTGCATGCCCCACACGTGCCGCCATCGCCATGCAAAAAACCCATAAGCATAACGGTCCACCGCCACCACCCACTTGCCATTAAAGAGCTTCCACGACAAATCGCACACATTTAACACGCACCCTCTGGGCCAAGGAGGATTATGGGGGGACGGGGGGGTTGGAAGACCCCTGTGGCTGAAAAAACTGCATACTTAACAGGCCCACAAAAAACCAGCAGGGGAAACAGCTGCTCGCAATGGCTCAAACAGCTTCGCCAACTGGCCAACAGAGAAGTACAAACGCTAGAGATGGGATCGAATGGTAAACAAGAAATCAAAATGATGTTTGGCCATCTAGGGGAAGTTTTCTTATCCGCATATTAAATCTATAAATCTAAGGATTTTAGATATTTTAGGCTTAAATACAAATACAAATCTGTTTAAGCTTAAGAATTCGCGTACAAATCTTATCTAAATTAAAAAAACCCTAACGTTTGTTGCAGAAGAAATTTATAAAGAATAATTTTTACCGTATACCATATTAAATTCACAATTTAAATAATTTAATATCAAAAAATAAATAAGAGCTGTATACAAAGAAAATAAATTAAAAAACCTCAAGAATTCGCGTATTTTGTAAAGTTTATTTTATATTATATATTCAGATAAAAAACTAAATATTATTTACCTTAATTTCCTAATTTGTTCCGGGTACTTTACAATAACAAATCAATATGTATTTAAAAAACTCACGATTCCATTCCTATCTTCAGGATCAAACCATAAGTGTTCTTTTGCTTGCGGCCACCCCTAATGACATTTGTATGCCGTTGCAGACATGTGCAACTGTTAAACCCGAAATGAAAGATTCAACCGAAGGCTCCTTTCCCTCTTTTCACTGCAGTTCCTTTTGCCAATTTTTAGGCTATAAGAAATTGGCAAAGTTAGAGCTTTCGCCTCGGTAAACCCAAAACCTGGTGCTATTCTGTCCTTTCCATTTTAATTTGTTTTATTGGCAATAAGCTCTGTCTACTGGCGATAAGCAGGGAAAATGATTGTTTGAATTTATGCTAAGTGCCGGTCAACGAAGATGCCCAATGGCGATTTTTTATTGCCCCAGCATAGGCAGCGATTTACCTCTCGCAACACTTGATAAATATTTGCTATAAAAACAACAAAAAAATGAAACAAAAAAATTGAAAAAAAAGAAAAATGCAAAACCACTCAATGGTCGTTGTCTTTGTGAACTGTTTTTCGGGGGGAGAAACAGAAAAGGAGATTTTTGTTATTCTCCCCCAGGCAACAACATCATATTCCCAACACCCAAAAAGCGACTCCCCTATGGATTTGTGGCTGTGGGGCTTACGAAATCCGCCAGCGCTGTGCTTCGAGAGTTTTAATTGAATTTTGAGTGGTGTATTTAGGGATTTGTTATTTATAATAGAAAGAGCACACAGCCGGGAGCTCCAAGGAAAATGGCATTGGCAAGGTCCGATAAAGTGTGCAGCGACAGGAAAATGTTTTCAGGCATTTGGAAACCCTAACATTAAAAATAAAAAAATATAACAAAAATATATTTAATACCATTGGAAAAGCAAATTTGCAATATACATTTATTATTAAGTAAAGTTTGGTGAAACCCTTTGTTTACACAAAATTCATTGTAAAGCCTTGAAATTACTGCCACCATTAAATCTTTCAATAGTTAATGATCACTTCGCAGCCATAGACCATCCACAATTGTACGGTTTGGATCATTAAAATAATTCCATTCAAGCAATAGGTTATCATCTGCCAAGTAGTCATAAGCAGACGCATCCATGTAAAATAAACCGAGATTATTTCAATTTTGCGACGCAGTGTGAGGGCTTTCAAATCAAGTCCAGCATCCTTAAAGAGTTGGTATAAATCCTTGTTTGCCAATTTCATAGTCAAAGAGGAATATTTTAAAAGCAAGTGTGAAGTTTGGTTCGCAGAACACTGTGAAATATAAAGAAATACATGATAGAAATAAAATGCAAGGCCAGGGAAATTTATAAATATTTATTTTATCACATGAAATTTTGTAGAAGAGAAGCTTTGTTTCATTACTTAATTTTTTATTTGTTTGACCTTTCTATTTCTGATCGTTTTTATTTGTATAACCTTTTAAAAGCATTAAATTGTTTAACTATACCCCTTGCAATGCATTACACTAAAGAAAAAATGGGTAATCTCTCTTTCTTGGCAAAAACAAATGGTTGAGTATTATTGTTTGGTTCTCAACGCAAATTGTGTTATAAAAAGCAATTTGTTAGCGCCATAAAAACTTGACCCCGTCATCCTTTTTTCCAATTCTTTTCGCATTTTATTACAGTCGATGACCAATTTGAAGAGCAATATGTGGGGCGAATTGTTGGGCACCCCAATATCATTGGGAATCAAACCGGCCAACTGGTTCCCCCTTATAGTATATATCTCCCGGCTCCTCAATGGAATTTACAGCAGCTATTTATTTTTGGCCAACATTTGCGGCACATGTCGCATGTGAAGTGGAGTGGAGTGGCTATGGCTTTGTTTTCCTTTTACGAGTGCGAGTGCATTTGTTGTTCATTTCATTTAAATTACCCTGTGGCTGACCTCCTTGTCACAACATGTCGGTTGGCGTCATATTGGAACTGTTTTGTGTCCGCAATCCACAATCGAATGCTCATTGAGTGAGTTTTTCCCCCATTTTTTCCGGTTTTTCTTCTTTTTTTTATCTTTATTTGTATTGCATGGGGGTTATTGTGGTTTTTTAATCAAGTTGTAGGTGAACAAATTTTGGCTAACCGATTGTTTTGTGGGGGCGTGTTATTCATTGTTGTGTTTTGGAGAGCGAATGAAATGCGGGATAAACTAAAAAGAATTTATTGTAAACTTTTGGACAAAAGAAAGGCAATATATTGCATTTTAAACTAGTTGCCAATTTCATTTCTTATAGGTTAGGTTACAAGTTGTATTTTGGTATGATTTTTGGAAGCCTAAACTGATAAAAAAAAGAAGTAACATTTTGCTCCATGCTTTTCATCCTTTGCGGGTTTTAATATTTTAAAATACGAAAATATTAATATGAACATTTTATCGCATTTAAAGATTTTCATCTTTGATTTGAATATGCATTTTTTTAAAATGTGAATAACATCGAATTTAATACCTTTCAAATTAAATCATGCAATTTATTATTTCTGTATCAAATGTGCACTACGAATCTTAGCATTAAATATCCAGGTATTTCTAGATCAACTTTTATTAGTGTAGTAATATTTAGAAAAAATGTATTTCCTTGGGAAGAGCGAAGTATTGTCAGAAATATTTAATCTTCTTAAATAATTATGAACACATTTTATTTGAAGTTGTTTATCACTTACTTGCCAAACCATTGCAAATAAAAGACCCATATATCTGCATACGGTTTAGCATACACACGGCACTTAAAAATTATGACATATTCCTTGGCGCAACACACTCAACTTCAACTGTGTGGAAAAGCATGAGTATAATACATTTTACGACTGCGTTATATGTCTGCCAAAGTATGTAAAATTATTATTTGTCTGACTGTCTCTCTGTGTGGGCTTGCATACTTTGTGCTTATTTCTGGCTGTCAGAAAGAACAGAAAAGGAAGAAAAAGATGTACGACGTTTTATTATATTTAAATTACACAAAGCATTAAATATAATTCACTCACTACGCTCCATTTACTAAGGCTATATGAAAGGCGCACACACGAAGGCATTACTGTCTGCGCACATAAGTATGCAACAACAAAATGCCGCTGAAAATCGCTGTAATACTTTTTCATCAATTATATGATGCGCAAAAATATATATGCTGAGATTTACAATATCAAACATGGCTAACACACACACGCAGCCAGAGCTTTGGCAACACACATAAAAGCACAGATATATGCCGACATGCTCTAGATGGCAAACGCGTCATACTTTACTACTTACTAAATCCATTACAAAGTATTTACGTAGAAAATTGCTTTATATCTCTGCATATCTCTCAGTCGACGTCATCATCGTTGTTATATCCCTGCGATTGTGTGTTGGTGTGTGTGTGTGAATATGGAAGTTCTGACAGGACGAAAAAAAGTAAAAAGAATTTAAGTACGTGGGAATAATAGTAGAGGAAAAAATCTTTTTAGTGGCGTCGCACTCCCTGGGTAAATTCCTCGAAGGAACTCCTAAGGTAGTCGACATTTCCACCCCGTAGCCCAAATCCCCTTCCACACATTTGGAGGCAAAAAGGCTGTGTGCAGCAATTTATGTGATTTTTTCCTAAATGTCAGTGGCAAATAAGAAAATATTAAAATAGATTTGTGCACTCTGAACGCAAAGACAATGGTTTGTCATGAACACTGAGAATTTTAATAAGCAGTGCTAAGTTTTGCAGCGATAATAATAAAAAGTATAACAAAATAGGTATGGAAAAATATATGTAAAAAAAAAGAATTGACGTGTGCCTTTGTGACTTTATAAAAAAAATCTAAATAGTCTTCCAAGTTGTTTAGATGTTAATACCATGCCAAAAATATCTGTTTCTTATAAAAACAAAATCCTGTTATTTATTTTTAAACTTTAAGTATTTTTCATGAGTTCTTATAGTTCACAGATTTTCTACGAATTTTTTGTTTCAGTTTTACTAGATTTCTGATGATTCCCCCTGCCAAGATGTTGACGGTAAATCACATCCAGCTTCTCTCTATCTCAGCCAGCATGCAGTCATAAAAAAATGGAAGGAAAAAGTATACCAAAAGCCAAAGTAGTAGGATGCTGGGCTATGGAATGTTGGCGTAAGTGTGTGTAATTCATAGCGGATTTGCTTGCGGAGGGGAATTATTCATGCGCACTTGATTGTGCACACAACAATGGAGCTGATCGTAATCAGTGTCTCGTCATCATCATCATAAACTCCTTGGTCAAGAAATATGGTATTTCCTCTGGAAATGTGATAATCTAATGTTATATGTGTACCCTAAGGAATAGAAAATATTTGTAATATGTTGGTGGCTTGTTAAAAAAGCATAGTGACTCGTAAAAAGTATCTTCTGTTTAAAGATTTCTTTAAATGGGAAGTCTAGGCTGTAATCTCCTACAAACAACAATGAAAATAAATAAAACGAAAATACATATAACAAATAAATTTGTCGTGCAGCGGTGCAAAAAGGCAAAAGCTGCCTTGAATTGCACTACGAATCACTCTAGCGTGCTATCAATTACTGTGGCAAGTGTTGCACGTGCCACCGACACCGATCCGGTTGGAGGTCCTTCCCCGACTTGGCTCACACCCCCTGGCACCTTGGAGGTCCTCAGAGCTCGGTGTTCGGTACTCGGTCCTTCCATCCAGCCAGGACAGCTTGCTCATCTCATTGTGTTCCTTGGCATTTGCTCGCTGGCTTTCTATTCCAATTTTTCCCTTTTCCAAATACCCTGTATTAGGGGATTAGAAGGGTATATTGTGTTTGTTCAAAGAAGTACGTTCAACGATTTTGGTAATAAGATAAGGAGAATACTCAACTACTGTCGAGCTTATTATTAAACTACGAAAAAAATGTCATTCTACTTATTAATGAAACTAAAGAATTCGCGTTAGAAAATTTTTTTTTTTTATAAAAAATGTAATGATATTTATTTATTTGATTTTTATATTTAAAAATAATTATCATGGAATATATGGGGGTATGCATTTTTCTAGCACATATTTTTCAATCGTGCTTTTATTACTGAGTATCCCAAGATCGCATCCTCGTTGGCAAGCATCTTTGGGTTTCCTTTTCTAATTTCTTGTCGCACTTCGGTCGTTGTCTTGGCTGCACTAGTCCGGCGTTCTGTAAGTGGCATGAACATCGCTGCATTTTCTTGACAATTTCTCAGCTTTTTTCTGCTGATGCTCTCCCTGCTTTTTGAGTGCTTTCAATTGTTGCACAATTTTTTAATTTGCTGCGTGGCCAAAGAAATGAAAGAGTTGCCGTCGCACAGGGAATTTTAATCTAAAGTGGGTGGTGCATAGAATTGTAAAATTCTAAACGTTTGCTAACTTTCTTCACATAAGTTTGTGTAGATTTTAATTATTGATCATTGCTAAGCCGAATACCTAGGTATTCTTAAGCCAATTAAATTCACATTTGGACACAAAATCCTGGATATTTCAGCTTCAATATATGAATTTAATTAACCACAAATGAGCACACAATTTTCACATATTCAGCCCGCACTCGAATGCCAAACAACGTCATAATAACTCAGTCGGCCACAAAACAAAACAAAACAAACTTCACATGTCGTTTGTGTGCAAGTTCTGCATTTGAATTGTAAGGCTCTTGAGTAAATTGCAATTTAATTTTATGCAATTTGCCAAAAGGCTATATGCTTAAATTGTATCGGAGCATAATGTCCTTAGGTCTACTAATAAGCCTAATCCCAAATGCTGGTGCTATTATAATTCAAAATAAGCCAAACATCGAAGGCAGTTTGTCAATGTATAGTAAGGCAACAATGTTTAAATACCCTTAAGGAATTAATTTAGAACTTATAAAAGAGCATATGTATTTATTTTATATTTACTATGTGTTTTTCCTTGAAAACATCGAAATTACCGAAATAATGTTGTAAAAATATCTAAACAATTCAAACTCTATTTTCATGTTGTAATTTTTTCCCACAAAGCATTGATTTCATTCTTTTTATTTAAGAAGCGAATTGCAAGTCAGATCCCTTAGTTTATATGGCCAATCTAAGTAGTTCCTTCGTATTAAATACCAAAATGTAATAAGCATTAAATTTTCTTGCAACCTGCAGTGGCAAGGAGAGAGTACGAAATATGACATCCAGTTGCAATTACAATGTAATTACAAGCGACAGACGAAGAACGTTTTAAATTTTGTATGTCTGAATCTCCAGAAAGGATTAGGCACCATGAGGATGAGGATGAGGATGGGGATGTGGATGAGGATGCGTTCCATTTAAGCAGCAGCTTATGCCATAAACATGGAATATGACCTGGCTCACAATGTCTGCCATAAAATGACGCTTAAAGTGTGGCACGTAATTGCTTCATACCCTTGTCATTCTGCTTCTCTAATTGCCTCAAGTGCTCCTCGCCCTTTGTATGATTTTAATTAGAATTAGGTTTCTAAGCCGGTGTTTTGATTCTTTAAGCGCACTCAACATGCGCTCGGTAAATACAAACTAAACCGGCGGCTAACTCCACCCAGATATCCGGAGATGTTTGGCAATCAAGACTTGGTAGTTGCTGTATATTAATTTCCTGGTTACCTAAACGCAGCAATTGCAGTTTCCAGCCTCAATTATCGGGAAATTTGCTGCAATGCATAAATTTCGATTCGCACACCGGCCGAATCCAGAAATCATTGAGTAGGGTTCTGTGGTGCGCTATTCTGTATTAGTCGACGTCTTTGGAGTAGAAGTCCATGTGGGTTTTGGTTTATTGCTAATTTATTTACACCCAAAAAGCAATTTTGGGTTTGGTTTATTATACCCATAAATATTTTTAAATTATTGGAAATAGTAATGCAGCCTTCTTGGAAATCTTTAAGAGGAACTTCATGTTAGGTATATATTAGTCAAAGGGTATATGAGTACCGCTAGGGTTTAACACATTTTTTTAAAGGTGTCAAAAAAAATGCAACAAAATATTTTTTTTTTTTAATTTTGATTGATTTATTCCGAAAGACCCCTTTATCCATTGCCTCTTTTTAGACACCTTTGTAAACTATAATCACATTTAAAATTAAGTTCTTTATATTGCAACTATCTTTGTGCTACGAGCTTTAAGCACCTTTAAGGGTCCAACTTACATCCCATTCAAAAGATTCCCAATCGTGACACCGCCAAAAGAACGAACCACTCAATCGGCTGTACCAATTGATAAAAACATGGCTCACAGACACCGCCCCTATCATTAAAAAACAAGAATGTGTGACATTTTGTCAGGCATAATAATAAAATTACAATTGCAGCTCGGCGACAAGCAATCCGGGGGAAAATGCGCCAAATCAGCGAAAAAAAGCGGTGGGGCGTCTCTTAAGGAAATGTCAAATCAAATTTATTGACTTTCATTGTTCGCTGGAATGGAGGCAGTGACTCCGCGCTGGAATCCCGGGCTCATTGAAATGTGAAAAGCCAATGACAGGGGACGCAGGGCTAACAATGTGCACCTTTTTTTTTCCTGTCGCAAGATCCTCTGTCTGGATTCTACTTGTGGCACTTGTCGATTTGTCCTGCACATTTCCCCATTCCGAATCCGTGTTTGTGCGCGATTAAAGCGCCGCTTAGCACGTTTGAATGCCTTTCACCCGGCTTTACCTCCGCCATTTCGGATTCTCTGATTCTCTGAGACAATCAGCAGAGCTTTCTTTCCCCTTCCCCATTCGGTATTACTATTTTTACACTGAGAAAAAAAATTGAAATTAAGTATTCGGTGCCTACATCTCCCGAAATCCTGCATGAAGATTTTTAAAAATATTTTGTTTATGTAATAAAATTTTTAATTATTTAAAAATTTAAGTTGTAAAGGAATTCAGATAATTAGTTCATACTAATTAAATTAGTATTATTATTTAGAGAAATAAATCAAATTACAAATATTAAAAATTGCATTAAAAATCCAGTAACTTTTGTTAGATTATGAAACACTATTTTTCTTGGAATTTGAACTTTTTTTAAATTCTGAATACCTATTTTTTTCTCACTATATTCTCTCTTGATTTTGAAAAACTTTGCACAATGCCTGCTGGCAGAGCTATAAAAATCATATGCTTCCCTTCATTGCAAGGGGTTGGCTTCAGTTTTTTGCAGCTCCGTCTATATAGCTGACTTTCTTTGTGCCGCCCAGCTAAGTTTGACAATTATTTGCATTGTTCAGTGAAGTCGTTTGTTCAACATGCACATGAATCGGTAACTACAACATAAGTGAGTCCCTGGTTATAGTTCACAGTCGGACAAGTTGGGTTTGTTAGGCACTCCGACTCTATTGTGCACTGTCCATTGAATTTGTCGGAAGGAGTATTTGTACCGACGAAGAATAAAAAGTGCCCAGGAGATGAAATCGAGTAGAGTTCGGTTGCGTGAAAAGGGATGTTTTGCAATGGTTTATTGTTTTATTTGTAGGTCAGCGATGCAGGCATGGATTTAATAAAATATTTTAAGAAAAAGTGGTATTTTTTGGATTCTTTAAAATCTGATTTCTATGGAAAAATGTTGTAAAAAATAACAGATAAAAAGCCGGAAACATAAATCCTTTTTAAATAATTTTATCACCGCAGAGAAAAATTCTTTGAGATTTTTCCAAACCCAATTTAATTCCACATTCATATCAGATTTCGGAGCAACAATTTTCGCATTATTTAGGGAAATCACTTTATAAAGCGGGGCTTTCTGCAACCAATTTTCTTCACACGAATATGCAAAATGAATGTTCTTCGCTTGACCCGAAAGCCTGTTGCCTTTTGTCATTTGAAATTCCGGCCAGGATGAGCAAGAGTGGAAGCCTGTTGCCAAAAACGAAGGGAGTTCTTTTAGACAGAATTTCTTTTTCAGACACGCCATTTTAAATGGCTCTTTCCGGTTCCGGTTGCGTTGCGTTACGTTACGTTTGACTTGCCTGCACGTAAATTTCGTGCCATTTTGGGCAAGAGAATTCGGGTGAGCGGGCGGGGGCTAAACTGCTTCACTCATGTCGGCGGTAAATTTTAGTACAATGCATATATAATCTTTTTCACTTATCTTTGCATAGTTTCCTTTTGCTGCAGCCGAAAAACTTTTTACGGTCTGAGGTTAAAAGTGGCGTCATACATTTCCAGGCCCCCTAACGCCCCCAACCACCCACTTACATATAACTCGAGATTCGCGGCGCGTTGAGAGCTATGTAATGAATGAAAAGTTGGCTGGGGAGTTGCAAAAGGTTGTGGCTGCAAAAAGGTGCACAGGCATCGCAATTTTTGCTGAATGGTTTGGTTTAGTTTTTGTACTTGTCGACAATCTTGTGACAGATTTATGGGTTAATTATTGCAAATGGTGCAGCGGAACAGGAAATAAAGGGGCAAAACTCGAATCTAGTTCGTTTGATTGCACATATTGTAGCACTGAAAAGGTTGTTAGTTAGATATTGAACAAATTTTGGAATGTTATCACAAATTTTGTAGCACAAAAAAATGTGCAAAAGCTTTGTATTGATTAAACGGTAAGAGATCTTAAAAATATCAAACTGTAGTACTTATTATCATTTTTCCAGCTAAACTGGTATATCATATATTTTAAAAATGGACAATGCACACCCAACGAAAATTCCAATGAAAGCGATTAAATTGTTTGAACATCCTTCTCCCGATGACGGCAATCCCGAAGGTTACGATCTTTATATGGGCATCTGGGAATTGAGTGTAAGCCTTGGTAACTTTAATCATAATGTGGAAGAATCGTTAAAATTTATAGCCGAGAACAATACGACTTTGAAGAACACCTTCGAGCTGGTCCTGCTCAATGATTTTCGGATGAAGTTCGAACTACTGCAAAAGGGAACGGATTCCGACGAGCAGACTATTCACGAAACTCGGGGAGATCTTTTTATGAGCCTCTATAAAGAACTGCTTGATATAGAGAAGGACGAAACAAGGCGATGTGGTTACTTGAATCTTTGCTATGAACTCTTCGACTCTGTCCATCCAAAACTTAATGGGCGCAAAAAGTCATTTACTTATCGCGTGGAACTCATCGATCGTTTGCATGCTCAGGTTCAGAAGATATTGAATCGTCTTAATGGAACACCAGTCCTCGACGTAAGATCCTCTGACTCCCTTGTTGATATTCAAAAGGAACCCTTGATAGATGGGTTAAATAAGGAAATCTCTGATCCACTTGTAGAAATCGTATCAGAGGAAAGCATAGAGAAAATGAACTTGGAGTCCTGCAGAGTGTATATCGAAACATTGGAAATCGAAGGTTATGCATTTGTAGAGAGTTGTACAGTTCTTAACAAGTGTATTTCAGAAGGCTTTAGATTTGTAAAGGAAATCCCTGAGATTACTAGTCAAAAGATCATTTCGGAACCGAAGTGTCTCCAAAATGAATTAAGCTCTCCAAACTGTACTAATATTTCCGCTGAGAATGATTTTAATGAAATTCATTTGCTTGATTTGAGTAATCCGAGTGAAGTTGATTACAATGCTTCCGATGAAGCACTGGTTTCCCTTACTTGCCTCGCACATTTCCATATTAATAATCCTATCAATTTTCTTAAAGATGATTTAACTAAAACTGTAATCAGTGACTTAGAAAGCCTTCCCAAGGATAACAATGAGATTATTGAGATTATAAATAATGATCATGCAGTTGTTGCCGAAAAAAGATCATCGAGCGAATTGTACGATATACATAGAAAGAAAAGTAGAAATATTCCATTAACTTCAATTCCAGTAGATACATTTTTAGAAAAACAAAATATATCTATCTTAGATTGTTCGAAAGTTAAGGATATTGTTCCGTTGATCATTGAGGAAGCTGCAGCTTTGAATATTTCTGAGAACGATATTTTATCTGAGATGTGCTTGGATATCAATGTAATCTCATGTGATATGGAAAGTAATAATAATCCGATAACTATTGAGGAAGTGGATACTGTAAAAGCTGTCGAGATCGAAAATATTAGTGATCGTGAGGACGATTTTAATGAAAAGCCCGATGATTGTGACGATTTCAGTATCATCGATAAAAGTGGAGCTAGAATTGCCGATGTTACGAAAAGGAGTCGTATTCCTTTTATAAAAGCTATTAAAAGATTTGAGCCACTTTCTACTAAATCTTCTGATTCTCATAAGAAATGCTACTTTAAAGGTGGATTTGAAATTCCAATTAGTGATAATTTCAAACATAGAAGTTGTGAAAAATCTATAGTCAACTTCGAACAATATTCACAAGGTAACCTAGAAAAGATGAAAGATTTATTTGAAGATTATAAGAATAAACTTGATGCGATAACTGAAGTAGATGAAAGAATGGATTTGGAAAACTTAAAATCCAGTGAAAAGTTATTATTATTTAAGGATACCGATGAAAATGACAATTTGCGGAAAAACGATTTATGTTCGGAAGAAAAGGGTCCTTCAGAGGAGAAAATGATGAGTGAACTGCGGCAAACTGTAAGTGATATTAAGCTAAACTTCTTGAAAAAGGTGGATAAGACTCTGGATTTGACTTTGCAAAATCCTTCTGAGGTTCGATCGAGGAAAGCGTCGTTTGAAAAAAACGAAAGGAATGAGTCGAAAAACTATAGAAGAAATTCGAAATTTACTAATGAGCTTCGTTTACATTCTCCAAGAAAGATGTTCCCCAAAAACATTATCTCTAAGCATTCGGCTAACAAAATACACCAAAAGCAATCGAAAAAAACTTGCAGAAAAATGCTTTCACCAAAATTAAGTCCAATTAAAAAGTCTTTTCGCGATTTGGCGGAAAATAATCATACACTTGATTGTCGTATTAATAAAGAAATAAACCGTAAAGACGATGTTAAACGAGATTTTCTGAGTGCAGTTGAAAGTTACAGTGATAAAGATGAAGATCCCAATTGTAACTGTGAGGAATGCTGTTTGGTGAAGGATGAATATTTAAAGTCAACATCAGAAAAACCCAATGAATTTGCAGCTGAGCAGGACGGTCAAGAAATGCCTTTACCAATATCAACTCACACTATTCAAGTCTTTAAGCCTTTAACAAAGTTTTTAGATCAAAATCGGACACCTGAAACATGTGTTGAATGCGAAAATATTCATAAGGACCTGCTGAAAAGAGATAGTTCAGAAAAATTAAAGTTGTCTTTACATAATTTAAGCATTGATATATCCGAGGAATGCTATTTGGTGGATGACATGAAAAATAATGTGAGGGAAAAATTGAATGATATTATTGCTGGAAAGGACGATCAGGAAATACTTTCACCAATATTGAAAGAAATATCAGAAACTAGTAATTCCGTTGAACAGTCCATTTTAAAGAAATTGGATACGTCTTCGACCCAGCTTTCTGCTAAAAATCATACCTTTGAACATAGCAGTAATAAGGAAAGAAACACCAAAGACCTGGATTTAGATAATAAAGATTTAAAGACATCATCGCATAGCAATTGTAAGGATATCTCTGAGGAATGCTTAGATCTAAATTATAATCTACATCTAGGACAAACAAATGAAGCTGTTGACGAACAGGACAATCAAGAAATGCTTTCGCCAATATTGAGTCAAATTACCCAAACGGTGAGTGACGTAAAGCTCAACATTTTAAAGGAAGTGGATAAATCTCTATCGGAATTGACCTTAAAAAGTTTCTCTGCCTTTTTACAATCTGAAGAAACTATTAAAAATAAGTCGAATAGTCCCGTGTTAAATGAAGCCTGTAGTAAATTATCGTTAACTAAGAAAAATGATATAATGTTTGACGTTCGGCAAAAAAGGGAAAATGACAAAACTGTATCGGATTTTACCTTACAAAATACTTCTGAAGAAAGAATTAAAAATATGTCGAAAACACCGGTGTTAAATGAAGCTTGTCGAAGATTATCGTTAACTAAGGAAAGTAATATAATTTTTGAAATATCGGAGGAAAGTAACTTTGGGAAAAACCAAGAAAAAGAAAAGGATACAACTGTATCAGAATTGACCTTAAAAAGGACTTCTAACGCTTCCACCTCTTTATGGAGAAATCCATCTGAAGAAAATATTAAAAATAAGTCGAAAAATCCGTCACTGAATGAAGCTTGTAAAAAAATATCGTCAACTAAGGAAAGTGATATAAGCTTTGAAATATCGGAGGAAAGTGACGTTGGGAAAAACCAAGAAAAGGAAAAGGATACAACTGTATCGGAAGTGACCCTAAAATGTACCTCTGACGTTTTACTAAGAAAACGGACCGATGAAAAATTTAAGAAAATGTCGGTAAATTCTGAGTTTAGTCAAAACTCTGGAGGAAGTAATGCCATCATGGATTTATGTAAGGAATGCGATATTAAGGTAAACTATTCCAAGGAGCTAGATAAGTACATTGCTGAAGGTTTAAGTATAAGGAAAAGAAACTGCAATGAAGTGGTTAGGCACAATGGGTCTGGGGATTTGAATGTATCTCTCGTAAAAAATAATGTTCAAAAAAGTAGAAAATCTTTGCCTACATGGCAGCATCAACGGCACATTATTGCCGCCCCTCGTGCGATAATTAAAAACTTCAAGTCGAACTCTTCCTATGAGTGGTCCCCTCATGATCCGAATGCTCCTGATTTCTATGAACAATTGGATCAATTTTTTGAGATTACAGGGCAAAGAAAATGTGGCTCAGCCTTTGATATTTGTGTATCATCGATTCAATCGCGTTTATGTCAGATTCTGAAACGCCTTCCGAGGGAAGAAAGATACTCCGATTGGATGGCTACAGTGGGAAAATGCAATTTGGAACAGTTGCTTACTCGAAACGAGAGAAACAGCTACGAAACCTTGCGCTGGCAATCGAGGGATACGGGTGACCAGGATCTATCTGCCGGGTCTCGATTCACCGATGCTCTTCATGGAATGATGGGCTACGAATCGCCACACTTGAAGGTATCCGCCATAACTGGCAGGCTGCAAATGCGTTCGCCTCAGCATCAGGATAGCATCAGTGAGTCCTATCTGCTGCTGATGCTTGGCCACTTGGGTTACTTCTATCGGGAGCTGAAGGAGCACCTGGGGATACTTGGCCAACGGGGAGAGACGGCTGCTGCTCTACGAAAATCTCTGCAAAAGTATCTCTTGAATTTCTATCAGTTCTATGAAATGCAAACGAAAAACCCCTGCAGTCTCCTCTGTTTGTACCGACAGACTCGTGGCTTTCAGCTGCAATTCCAGTGGCTTCTGGATGTCCTGCATAATATTCAGAATGAAGAATCTATTATAGTTTCGCTTTATGAAGAATCCGGTCTAAGATTCGGTTGTCAAAGAAGTTTACTGTTGAAATGGTTAAGTGTGGCGAGCCAACCGCTGATAAACCGACTTCAACAGTGGCTACTTAGCGGTCATCTCAATTCTTCAGATTCTTCGGATGAGCTTTTCATTGAACGAAGTTTAGCATCGAATACCAATGATTTTTGGCAGAAACGCTATCGAATTACAGAACATTTTTCTATCCTATTTGATCCCCAGCTCATTGAAACTCTGATTAGCGTGGGAAAAACTTTAAAGTACTCACAAAAGTATTTGGGCATCAAGGTGGAAACTTGTCTAAGTGGCAAAGAGCTACGTAATATATTGCAAGAGACATTTGAGCATTTCTATCTATATGGCGAACAGGAACCTCTCTATGTATTTCTGCGAAACCTACACTCGGAAGTGTCTGGCGAGGTCCTTAAACAACTTCGGGAAATGCAGCCCAAGCCGGAGTATCTCTTCGCCCAGCTTCACAAGTACATAATGCTAACGGACGTGAAGTTTATCAGGGATTTTATAGATACTTTTGAGGCAATCCTTGGTGAACCGGAGAGCTTCTTTAATATTCGATTGTTCAATGAAATGAAAGATCAGAGGCTATGCAAACCTATTCAGGATCTCTATATAGATAAGGGTATAGGCGAAGGAACCCGCTGTTGGTCACGTCTTGTCCTCCGCTGGAAGCTGCCGAATCACTGGATTGCTCTGCTCGGCGAGGATGCCGAGGAATATGAAGCCATTTCCACAGCCCTGTGGCGATTTCGTTATGTCGACTATGTGCTGTGTGAAAGGATATTTCGGCAAAGAACGGAAATTCTCAATCGCATAGACTTTAAATATTTCGGGGGCCTCGAAGAGACTTTCAATTGTTTCGGCAAGCTTATCAACATGTGTCTGGATTTAATGAAAGTTCTAAGGCAGTATTTTTTCAAGAATTTACTAGAGCCAGCATTTGCAAGACTTTTGCTGGCCTGTTATAACGCCAGCACTCTCGACGATATAGTAGAGGCCAATAGAATATATCTTAAGTCCATAAAATTGGGTTGCATGCAAACGAACAACCTGCGGAAATCGAATCAATATCTAGATCGACTTTATAATTTTATACTCAGACTCGATGATAAGCAGCACAAGTTCTTCAAGCTGTGTAAAACTTCAATAGACTATGTGTTGGAAGTTCGCCTAAAAAGTTCACACAATGTGCTTTCCAATTACTATAGAAATCGAATGCTAAACTTTCGTTGGACCTGTGAAAATTACACAGATGTCATTAACGAGCTGAGAGATCAGTTTATAATGGCAATGATAAGCTTCTTATTTAGTCTGCATTTGTCAGATGAAGATTCCTTAAGGTCGCTGGCTCTAAGTTTGGATCCCAAGGGCTACTATATAAGAAAGGATAACAAATTGCGTCTAGTGCAATCGTTCGAGTTCAAAAGGAAGACGGCAAAAAGTAGCTTAGTGAAAAGTATTTGACAATCTGTTTAGAAATAATTGTAAATTTATTTATATTGTTTTGTAACTGCAACATGTGTAAATAAAATCAGGTATATATTTTTGGATAATATTGAGTTTTGTAAAATATAAAAATTTTACTAATTTATCTAAGAACTGATTACTTTTATTTTGTGATTTTATGTTTTTTTTTTTAAGCTGGCAACCTTAAAATAAATACCTCAATCACACTTAACTCCTTGCTCAAGTTATAATTCATTTAGCCAAAAGATAAACCCCCTTTTGGCTCTTTGTCTATAAATAAATTGGATTTTAATTGAAAATTAAGAATCGACTTAGCAATGTTTGCATTGTGCAGCAACTGGAGAAGCCTTTTGTTATGCAAATGTTCCCTATATTGTGGTCCCGTGCGAATAGGGACAGATGGAATGGGAGTGGCAGATTGCAAAGCGACTGTGTGGGTTCGTTTAAATTAAAGAAAATAATGGAAAATTTACTTTTTGGCTTAGGCTTTGACTAAATGGAATTTGCCTTCGTCTGAATTGTAATTGCTGGGCGAAAATTAAATCAAGTTCGGGTCCTCACTTTTCATATTTTTATTAACAAGTTATGCCAACACTTTTCTAACAGCTCTCATCTGCATAACTTAATTTTCTGAGAATCCGCATGGAAATATCTGAGCGCCCGAATCTCTGCCAAAGGAATGAACAATGGCGAAAGGATGGCCCAGTCTTGAGCTCTTTTGTTATCTGACAAACACAGCTGGCAGTCATCTCAGCCAGTCCTCTTCCACATATCAGCGACTGAGCTGGATGAATTATAAAGCACAGCCGCCTTCACCGAACAAAAAAAAGGAAGAAAAAATGTCAAGAAGATAATTGAGCTCAGGCAGAAGGCATTTAATAAACTTGATTGGAACGACAGGAAGGAGTGACACTCGGGGGAAGGTTGACAAGGTCCTGACATGAGTTGTTCGCCTTACGAAAAAAGTTAACTGGCTGACTTGCTCGACTGTTGATTAGGGAAATTAATTTCATAGGAAATTGCCTGCCTCCGATGCATTTTTGTTGATAAGCGAGCCATTTATTACGTGTGTTGATGTGTGGGAAACTTTTTTGTTCATACCCAGAGAACAATAAACCGGGAAATAAAGAATTTTATAATTCCTTTTATGGGAACAAGAAAATATTTTTCGAAGGCGAACTTTATTTATTTTGGGTTCATATTGTTCTTCCAATTTATACCCAAAACACTGTACATAGGCAATTATCCAAATTTTCAAATTTGGAATGCGTTTTGAGGGTTTATTTAAAACACATTCATTGACTTGAGAAAGTAATCGATAAAAACTAATTACCTAATTAACAAATAATAATTCTAATCAGATCTAATTGTTATACGGTTTTTCCTACTACTTTTTACTTTAATTAGTGAAACCAATGACATTTTTATCTCTTGCCCATCAGCCATTTTGTGCGCCCCGTCAAATTAATCTGTAAAATTTATTATTATGCCCGTTGACATACTTGAACTTTTCTAGGCAATAAATTCCATTACAAAGTTGCCATTTTGGCATCACAACACAACATCTCTCCGCACCCCAGTCAATAGTCAATGTTATTGACAATTCGTTGTCAGTTTTTCTCGCCCAAACACACGGAGCAATTTATGTGGCCGGGTTCTGGGGGCTTTATGAAATACTTCTCATTACTGGGGGAAATGTGGAAATGGTGGAATGGTCAGCGGCTGATGGCTGGAACATATTCGAACTATTTTCATTTCAATTGCAAACGGTTTGGCGCAGAGAAATCAATTGAATTGCCATTTCACATATGAAATGGTCATTTGTCAATGGACAACAATTGGAGGGCGTGGTCGCAGCTGGTTTGGATGGTGGATACTGGATGCGGTCACTCAAAATGGCCGCATAAATATGTCCTTTTCGTCCTGTGTCCTGTGTGTGCGAACGATCTTCTGGCACTCGCCCTTCATTCCCATTTCGATGGCTAAATTGTTGGTCGTTATTAAATTTCCGCTGCGTTGAGTTCTCATTTCCGTTTCAATGGCCAATGCAGCTGACCGTCGTTGAATGCTCAACGGATGTTGGCCTGGGACATAGATATATATATACACTCACATACGTGGGCTAAATAAATATTTTCAGTTCTGGATGGATAAACAAAGGGTTTGGGTGGCGTAATATTCGATTATTGTTTTTATTATAATTTTTAAGAGCCTACAAAACAATCTCCATTTATCCAGTATTTGGTGGAAGATCAAAAATTGATTCTACAACTGAAACGCCTGTTAGTATATATGCATATATGTAGATGTGTATGGGGCTTTTTAGCCAAATTGAAACTAATTGAAATATGTGGATTGCAGGAAACAGCGAGAAGTGGAGAGTGGGTAAAACTTTAGCCATAAATTTCAATAAAACGGCATTTTTGGTATTTCCTTTTATTCCAGTTGTAGTTTCCTCTATGTGTGTGTGTTTTATACGTTATATTGGCATTACGTATACGCCGTGACCTCATTTATTGTTTCGTCAGCATAATTTTATATTATGTTTTTGATTTGTGTTTGTGGAATTGTTTTGCAACAATAATTATTTTTAGAAACTCTTTCTTATTGCATCAAAATTATGTTTAAGTAATAAACATATTAATTTGCCCCATTTATTTAGATGGAAAATTTCTTAAGAGTTAAGTTACCCTAAAAGACCATTATATAATAATGGGTTTTAATGAAAATATAATGCATTGCCCATCAAAGGGACTTGGTATCCGCCTTCCCATGGGCCTCTTTTTTTATTGTTGGCTTCCCTTTGTGGCCGCTGTGTCTTGGCCAAAAAAAAAAAATAAATAACAAAATTATTCAAAATTATGGGCCTCCCCTTTTTGACTTAACCCTTGTGTGGGCGAACGTCTTATTCTCTTTCATACTTAACCAAGTTTTTATTAAACCCAGCTCCCGCCGCCATTACAAAGTAAAATCTTAGAAAATGCATTAAAAAGGCGCTAAGTAAATATTAAAATTTTCTGTCAGGGGGTCAGGCTTAGGCCATTTTATTATTATTATTTCCCCGACTAAACAAAGCCAGTTAATGGCTTCAGCTGCCGGACAATGGTTGTTTATTTATGCCCTCCGCTAATGGACAGCGCGGAATCGCTGAAAGAGTTCGCCTCGGTGGATATTATTTATTATCGCCGCCCCCAACGCTGCTGCGAACAATAAATGTAATATTTATTCATTTAGTTATTGATTTATGGCATGGCATTTAAATCAAAATCAAGGCAAGAATGCTAAACATTTTATCAATTTGATAAGCCTATTTATTATGATGTTTTCACTTTTCACCGCTGGAGTGGCGCACTGCTCCCGCCTTGATGAAATTTATGCCTTTACTGACCACAAAAGATTCATCTTCATTTCATCTGTCCAAGCCGAACTACAAGGCTCACCCATTCTCCCAGCTGCCAACCACCCATGCTTGATTAGTTGATGACACTTTGTGCGAAAGACTAAACCCTGTAACTGCCTTATATATGCGTATATGGTTATCTACACCTGGGAAAAATATTGTTTTTGTTTTTTTTTAGAAAATTAGATATGAAATATAATATTCAGTCAATAAGGTTTTCATGTAGTTTCAGTGCTTGTGAAGTTTAAAAGTTTTATATATATCCTATCCTTTCTTATAGTTTTTTGAATAGTTCTTTAAGGTTATTTATAATTTGTGCTGAGAGAGTTAGCTTTGAAATTAAAGAATTGGGATGATAAAATGGTTCATATAAAAGATTGACAGGATTTTTGGAAACTTTTTTTTCTCCACCATTCCTTTTGGAATTTTTTCCAAGTCTCTCGATTTTTAATAACATATTTTTATGTCGTCATATTTTTTTTGTGAGTGTATCTGAATACATATGCGTAGTTTCCCTATCCACAACTTGAGCAGGGCGATATGTCTCGCTCTGCGGTGCTTGTGGCTAATTTGATAAATATGCACGCGTTTATTCAAATCAATCAGAGTCAGACGACGACGACGACGGGGACTGGCTGGTTGGGGGCGGAGGGCCTTTGAATGGAGAGGACAAGTCATCGGCATCGTCTTCACTCGACTTCCCACCGCTTCTGATTATCTCCACGCCTCCTTTCAGTGTGCATCTTGTGGCATATAAATTTCAGCTGCTTTCCTCCCCGAGCACACATATAATCATCCGCACACACACGGGCTTCGCTCTTTGGAGATTTCATTAATGTGCGGTTAACTATAATGAGCCTGGCATATAGAAGCACAACACGGGGGGTTTTCTGGTTAAGTTGGGCTAACTGAAATCTTTTACGGTATCAGTGGGTTCCTAAATAGACCAATTTATTGTGCCGGAAATTCAAATTATCTCAGTTACATTAGTCCAATTGAGCTTAATAAACTTGGTGGGCTTACTAAAGTGTTTTTCTAGAGAGGTAAAATATTATATTTGGCAAGTAAAGTGTGTATTTTATTTTATATATTAAATGTATTTTATTTTAAATTTATTAAAGGTAAACTGGTACAAAAACCTATTTTCCATCTATCATGAACGCCGAGTTGGCTTCTAACCACAAACCAGTGTCCTCCTTTGTAATACCTTGGGTAAATTAAGTGGCCCACATTTGCAACTTCATTTGAAGGGGTTGTTCGCCCAGCCACATGGCGCATATGTTGGGAAAAATTTGTGCGGTGCGACCGCAATAAATCACAATTGAAAGTGGCAAAAGTAAGTTGACTCTTAAATCACTTTGGTCCAAAGATGGTTTGTGTTTCATGTGTGAGGTGGCTTACACCCCTTATGCCTAATGAGTTGAGAAATCTAGGTGGTATAGTATAAACTATATTATAAGAGTTTCCAAGAGCTAACAGCGTTTACCTGCAAGAGGGCGGACAATCAGCATAAACTGCAAACGCAATCAAAATGTTGAAATAAACTTAACAAATCCCACGTAAAGTTTGTTGTTCTCTTTTTCCGTTGCACATTTTCTCCACCTGTCAGCGGGTAAAATTTGTTCACCATGTTTAGTTCGGAGAACCAACGCGTTGACTTCGCTTTCGCCC